TATATACTATGTAAATGTAACGCGTTCAGTTTATTCATCGCCGATAACGTTTTCTGTAAAATATGGAGCTCGACTTACACCGTATAAGTTCCTTTTATCTCCTCGCTCTTTCTTAATTTATCGGGGCTGTGCAACCGCGCGTGTATATATATTCATCGCTCGTATATATATGTACATATATTTATTACAATTATATGATCTCATTTCGAATTGCACTGAAATATTCATGTTTATTCACACACACACACACACACACACACACACACACACACACACACACACAATTCAATTTCTTATCTCCAATTGTCTTAGAAAGAAAGGAAAATTCACATAAATATTTCAAAGCATTTTTTCATATTTCGAAATAATATAATTGTAATACGTATATCTAATATAATAATGTGTATTCTGTGCCTTATATATATATATATATATATATATCTATATATATATATATAAAATCTCTTTCTGTCTCCTCATGCACGCGTGTATATGCATAAAAAATGTGCGTGTATATTTATAAGAAGTGTGAATGGCTACGGAGACAAGCTAAAAAAGAAGCTAACTCAATTATACAATTGACATGCAAGTCGTAGTGATCGATTTATACGTAATTGTAGCCAGAGACTTTTTATATCTATTCCCCTAGCAGAAAAAGTGTCGCGACGAGAGAGAGAGGACGGATCTTGCGTGCGGAGTAAGAAACATTCTCCATTTTTCTCCTCTTTCTCTCTCTTTCTTTTTACTATCTCCTCTAAAATTCAATTCGACGAAATGTCACGCTGCGTCAAAAGTAACGCAACACCAATGTTATGATCGCTGAGCTTGTCCTTTTTAATTGAGCATCTTCATGTAACAAGTACGAGATTGCAAATCGAGCTCTATCAGAAATCACGCAAATATCGTTTTTCTTTTTTTTTCCCCCCTGAAGCGAATCACTATATGCGTTACGATGTAATTAGTGTAAATACACGTTGTAAATAAGTGCTATTTCGTCAGCTGTTTTATTCGAGAAAAAAATACATTCCGTGGACTCCAAGCGAATCTAAATTTATCCGTTGGAATGAAAAAAAAGAATTGCATTATATCCTCGTGAAATGTCTGTATCAGATTAAAATTTGTGATTAAATTTAATCAATCAGAAGAAAGAAAACTAATATCAAGTTTAGAGAACTTATTTTCATTGATCATAATTCAACCTCAATTTCAATCTCTAGTCTGATACAGGTAGGGGATTCGGATTTAATTATTTGAAGATTATATTTAATTATATCTGAAGATGATATTCGAAACCTTCAGAGAGATATGATATTTTATAGTGATAAAAGGAGCGATATTTTATTGCTAGAATTATCGCGCAATTTTATGGAAGTAATATTTTGCCGTACCTACGTTTTATAATTTAGGAATTATATTGGATTGTCCGGAAAGTTCGTGCCGATTTTGAAGGAAAATCGAAACGCAGAAGATTTAAATTTTAGTATACATTTATTAAATTTAAATCTTTTGCGGCACGAACTTTCCGGACAACCCAATATTTCATCTAGAAATACAATAATACGAAATTATTGTATATCGTAGATACACTAGACTTTTTGATTTTTTTTTCCACTTTATCGGTCTCCATTGCGAGTGCCGAAGAAATCGCAGCTTTGCGCGAATGTATGAGTGCGCAATAAAATGTACATAAAATGTACTTGTAAGAGAAAAACGAGAACATACAATCATAATAAATCCGATATATGTATATAGGCGAAATTGTATTTTTCCAAGCGAAAGGAACGTTCGAGCGGAAGACTTATTTAGCGTTTCCGAAGGGGACAGCCCTGTTCCCCGCATTTGTTTTCTGATTACTTACTTGGACTTTCCCGAAATAAAGGATTTGCGCGAAATCTCCGTTCGTACTATTTGAATCATCGACATAAAAAATAATTGTTTTATAAATTATGTATATTTAATTCATGCAAATCTGAAATATAATAATAATAATATATAACTACATACATACATTGTATTACATACATACACTTTAAAGAGGCAAGGAAAATCAAGGGGCTATATTTGCTTTAGTGAAATTGTCTCTCAGTTCATATAACTTCGAGCGCCGATAAATTGTTTCATTGTTTTATGAACTGTGTATTTAATTCATGCAAAATCTAAAACAATAATATATCTGCATACACACACGTTGCATTATTCTAAAAAGACAGAGAAAATCAAGAGGCTATATTTATATTTATTTAGCGAAATCATCTTTTAATTCGAACGTAAAGTCATTGTTTTACAAATTATGTATATTTAATTCCTGCAAAATCAGAAATGTAATAATATTTTTTTCAATTCGTACAACTTCAAGAACGAAGTTGTTTTATAAATTATGTATATTTTATTCCTACAATTTAAATACATGTATATCTATGTCATATAGATGTGTTATTTTAAAAAAGCAAAGATCAAAGTTATATTTATTTTAAATACAATCTGCTTAACACAATAACACTAATATTGGGTTGTCCGGAAAGTTCGTGCCGACTAAAATTTAAATTTTAGTATACATTTATTAAATTAAAATTTTCTGCGTTTCAATTTATCTTCAACATCGGCACGAACTTTTCGGATAACCCAATAGTAACATTACGATATTGTGTATAATTTCTTGCTAAACAATGTTATGTACAACATGCGTTATATTTCATTTATATTATTGCGTGGAAAATTATATAATCTTGATACAGGATGCTTTGATGATATAAATCGACACAAGTGACGTTCTATCTTTGTTACTCATTAGATTACGTTCCAAAACGTAACTACAGTAACCGAAAGTTTATGTCGTCAATTATAGAATTTTGATTACTATAATTATGATTTAGAACGCACCCCTGAATGTTAGAAAGATAAAATAGATCTGTTTTTTTTCCATAGGACTGAATTTCCCCAGGACTGAATTTCTCACACTTCTCTCCAAGGCTATGTTCAGAGTCCCATTCAAATGCCACCCAGGTATAACTTCGTCGTTTACCAAACGTTAAACAAAACATACTCGAGGAGCATCCGGGTAGGAATTCGAACATGCTCCAATGTAAAAAGAAAAAAAAGAAGATAAACCAAGAAGTGAGAAGAAGCAAGAAGTTCAGTCTTAGGATATGGAAAAAGAATAGATCTAATCATAGTTGTGTTGATTTGTGACGCTAAGAGTAATATTCATATTCTTATATTTAAGACTGTCTTAAGTACAGTCTTAAGACGCTAATAAGGCCCTCTAATTTCGTGACTTCTTATTCTTAAGATTGTACTCGAGACGGTCTTGAATATAAGATTCGACTATAAATACCGGCCTATGAATTCTGGTTAGTTAATTCTTACTCAGATAGTATTTTACGGCACAGTACGTTGCAATCGTGAAGCTCTGAAACGTTCCATCGCGCGCGCATGTTACACTTATATGAGATATCATGTGTTGAAATTCGAAAGCACATGAAAAAATCATATAAACAGCATGTTGACCGCACGTTGCCAACACAATGTTACGTTACGTTATAGCAGTATTGACTGCACGATAAATTATACAAATTTTGTCTTTTTGAAACAGCGCGCTAAGTGCATGATTACGGCGTGCAAAATTTTTATTAATTTTCATCTTGAAGCCAATTATGGAAACTCTTCAAGGCATCATCATCATCAATGGCTGCGTTCAGCGAATCCAACTGTTGAGTGAACGCTCGTTGTTTGTGTCTTCTTTTTAAATCATCCAATCTGTATTTTAGATTAGCATTTTAGAAACCTTTTTCTGGGTGTAACAAAAACTCAAAGCGATGAACTGTGCAATGCAGATGTTACTCATATTCTTCTGAAAATAAAAATATTAGGTATACAATTTTGCTTCCGCCGTTTTTTTCCGAAATTCGAGGCTTTATTGTAAAAAACTGGTTATACATTTATAATTCAAAGTATTGTCCATCGCTGGCCACTACTTTCTCCCATCTTTCGGGTAGCGTACGAATCCCGCGTCGAAAAAACTGGTCATCTTTTGAGGCTATCCACGAATCGATCCAATTTTTTACTTCTTCATAAG